TTTCTTCCTTTTTCTCCTGGAGTCTTGGGTGTTTATTGGAAATGTTACCCCGGTTTCCCCTCTTCATCCATGGTGACCTGGGAGGAATGTGCGCCGGGTAGTGAAGTTTGAAGAAGACGGGGGAAACCGGAGGAAGTGAAGAGAAGCACTGGAGCTTGACAGGGCCAAAGCTATCAGTCAGGCTAGAACATGATACCTGAGAGTCAGCAGGGGTTGCACTAACAAAAGCTGCAGCCAACCACTCCAGTAAAATTCCCTCAACTTATTCGGCCCAGACCAAAACCCACCTGAGAGCCCTTCTCAGTCACTTTTGTTCTGTTTGCGGAAACCAGGCAGCATCACTGCTCTGTGCCTAGCTTAGCCTGTTACATGGTAATTAAATGCAACTGAGCATCAACCCAAACCCAAACCTGAACCTGAATCCACCCTGATCAGATTCCGATTGATTTCCAGTCAGACATTCACCTTGAGGGCATTTGTCTCATTTATCCCTTCAGTATCGTGATCTTTTTAATTCACAGTTCTGGAATTACACCAAGCCTGACCAGCAGCTGCGATTGGGTTGAACCAATTTAAGATCCCAGCAAGTATGTCGTTTGGTGTTCCGTGGCTATTTGGCACTCTCTGTACGTCTCAGGTGGCATATCACAGGTCTATGTCTGGCTGCCCATTAAAAATGAAACAAGGCTTCTTAATTACAGACTGGCACTTTTGGCAATCGTGGCCATACTCGTGTGTCACTCCTTCGCTCACTCTCTCCGAGTCTTTCTGTGTTCAACTGGCCTCTTTATCTACCTTTCCATCTCACTTACACATATTCTCTTCTTTCTACCTCCCTCTTTCTTGCTTGACTGCAATAAGACACTGGCCCTGCAGTTTATGTTTGGTCCCCTTTCCCCCAAGTGTAGCCCAGCCACAATTACTTCCTGTGGTTCATCGTAGAGGGTCACTGCCATCCGCCAAAGGTATTTACAGCTGAAATTACACACACTGTGTTTTCCAAACCAGGCCTTCCTCCATCGCTCCATTATCACTGACCGTGTCCAACGGCTCTGGAAAGGGTTCAATTATGAATCCAGACATCCAGGGAACACAGGTTGTAAAGTCTTCCTCAATGGACAAGGAGATGCTGTAGAGTATAAACACAGTCTCAATTGGGTGTTCTGTATTATGTTGAATAAGTATTGAGCACCATTTGGCATGCCAATTGGAGCAGAGTTCAGATAATGACAGCATTTTAGAAATCACTTGACATTAAAGCTACTGTATAGCCTAAAGTAATGTGTCTTGACTGCGTTTTCAAATTGTGCCATTGATCCGAGCAACTCTGATGTTTCATGCAAAGGCAGAGCGTTCTACTTCAAATACAATGAAGATAAAAGAAGAAGCAAGGCTCAAACAGAGTGCTGCTGACAGCTGCACAGTTTAGTTTGCGGGAAGCAGGAAATGAAAATCAAATCCAGGAGGTCACACATTATTGACATGAGTGGCACCGTCCCTGTTTTTATTGGCTCCAGGTCCCCTTAAGTCAGGCAGCCCATGTGTTTCCCGTTTAGCGTCCAGGAAATAGGCCCGGCCAGGCTTCGGCCACGGGCTCCCCAATAAACCTGTGGCTTGTTTGCATTGTTCATTCTGTGGGATGACGGATTTGCTCAATCACCCGTGGCTGTCACAGCTGGCTTTCAATCACAGGCACACCCTCAAGAGGTTCTCCAGTGTTGGGAGCCCAAAAGGGGTCCCGGCATCTGGTAAAGATAAAGTAAAACTAGTGCTAACATGTAATGAAAGCCATTCATTGAAAGCTCGTCCACTTTATGGCAGAGCACAGCATGGAGCTCAGCTTCTTAATGTTATGATCGGATACTAAGGTGCGTAGTTGTCATTTTGATAGTTTACTTTGGTTATGGCTTTTTTATTGTCTTTTAATACAAGAACCATCCATCACATTACAGACAGTCAATAAAAATAATTGACTCTCGAGTATTAGTTTTTCATTTAAAGTGCCTTTCTTTCAAATCAAATGGGACCGAGGTCATGACTCTTCAGTGTATGTGTGTGTTTGTGTTTCCTACTCAGCGGCTATTAAATTGATTGGCAGCAGAGTGGACCTGGAGGGCAAGGGGTCATGGTAGGAGGCAGAGTGGACGGCATCAAAAGGACATGTACTCAGTCAGCCTCGACAAAAGGCACCAGGTCTGAACATGTCCAGTGTCTGGTAATAGAGGGCAAACTGTGGGGATGGGCAGAAAGGGTAACACTTTCAATGTTATGCCAACAGGCTGATTTTATCCCTTTCCGATGTAAAAAATCTCCCTCGCCATTGCTCATGCAGGAAAGTATCTTTTGATTGGCAAATCCCCCAGCTGTCAACTCCTTTGAGTTGTGTGTCTGGCACATAATGCTTTTAATTTCATCCTTCAGCCATGAAACAAGGCACCAAAATCTTCTTCCCTTTGAATATGTGAAGTCAGGATAAAAGACATTGGTTGCCATTGTGAGACAGTCCAGACACACACCTAGACATGCAAACACATATAAGGGGGGAAAAAAAACGACTTAGAAAGTCTTGCTTCTTATTTTATTCATTTATTTAAAAGACACAGAATGAAGGGAGCGAAGGTCGCTGTGCAGACGGTGGTTGCTGCAGATTCTAATCCAAAGCCTCCGGCGATCACCGCATGAACTCCATTTCTGGTCTGCAAACAAATTACCTTTTTTTTCCTCTCGTCTATCTCGCTCTCCCTCCAGTGAAAATAAGGGAAATTCAGGTGTACAAAAAAATCTATTTGTTCATTTAACTTTTCTTTTTCCCTTTCTCTTCCCGTCAGCTTCTTTTCTCTCTCCCAAACTCAATTTTCCCCTCGGTGCCTGCTTTGCTGGAGTGTTTCTTTTCTTTGCAACGGTCTCACCAGCAATTCATTAGGCAACAGTCGTTTAATTTGTATCATTAGAAAAAAAAAAAGAGGGAGTGTGCTTCTCGAGGAGTATGGCACTCCACTAAAACTGATCAAGACAAAGTACTTTATTGTATAACAACATGCAAGCTTAGGGGACTTGTTAAAAACGCACCTCGCACCAAACAAGTGTGTCAGAGAAATGGAGTCAAAACAAACAAACAAACAAAACCCAAATAAAAACTATTAAAAAAAAAACATGTTTCATATCTTAGCATTCAAGTGTTATTACACTTATAGAGAGCAGCTCTCCTTCTGGGCCTCGATATTAATTATGCAACAAATGTTTGACTATCCAAGTGAAATTTGCATGAATATTTATACCAATTCATTTGTTGAGTGTTGATTGTAATTACATGGAAACATGATTTATTGCCAAGATTGTTGTGTTAGCCAGCCAGCCAGAGAAAAGAGGAGCGGGGCGGAAATATATAAATAAATGCAAATTTGTTTTCCACGCATGCAAAAAGGAAGCCCATTTTTTTTTCTTCCCATTGGCTTGTGGTGAAATTTCATTATCAAAGAAGTGAATCCTTCACAGTGTGTGCCTGGCAGAGGCTCAGAGGCGCTTACAGAAAGTGTCTAAAGATGATAGAATAACAAAAGAGGCTCACATAGAAAAGGTGACCTATCAGTGGATGCTGAGGATGTCCCTTATATCTCTGTGTGTGTTTGTTTGTACTTCATTTACCACTCTTTTTTCTCATGAACTCATACATTTTCCAAATATCTGTCAACACATTACGAGCTTGACATGATTTTTTGGGCATTAGCCTTTCAGATGAAACGCTAGACTGTAGACACAGTTTTTGATTACAGAGGCCGATTACAGATTTACTTCAGTTATGACAATTGGTGGACGAACGTAAGGAGGGAGAACATTTTTGAGTAATGAGCCTATGTTCCGTTTAATATCCTCATGATGGAACGAGGAAACAGGGAGGACGGGGGGGGGACAAAGCAGAAAAAGAAGGACAACATTAGCAAGTGATGAGGTCTAGCAAAGAAGGTGCGCCGCAACAGAGGCTGCTCGTATCTAATTAATGAATGGCATTAGCCATTTGTTATGCCATTTATTCTGGTAATGACCAAGCCTGATCTTTCATTCCTCGCCTCATGCTCATTCTCCCTCTTTCATCTCCCCTCTTTCGCCATACAAAAAAAAAAAACTCAGACAGGGATTGAGAGATTTAAAGGGGAAGGAAAAGAAACGGACCAAGACAGTGAGAAAGAGGGCCTTTGCGTTTTAATGACATGCTCTGCAACTGTTTAACTCAGACCACTGCTCATTAATGTGTTAGAGCAGGCTACACATACTGGCCGTGTGAAATAACAGCTCATCCAGCAAACCCTTTTTTTTTTTTTAAATGTAATTCAGTCCATGTGCCCGGTTGTATCTTGGGTCGTCTTTGCCTATTGTGCTTTCGCTTTGTAGCAACAAATCGGACCTCCTGCAAGGCCGAATTCTTGCTCACCTTGGCCTCTTTTTTATTTTAAGCGCACAAATAAACAGGAGAACGAGGCTGGTGCATTCTTCCCTCCTAGTTGTATTAAACACACAGGTTTGGCCAGCTGCAATGTCTGTTGGGTCCCCTGAGCTTCTAGGAAGCCTGTGAAAGGCTCCCTTTGTACAGCCTCCTCCACATCCCTACAAGGTCTAACTATTAAAGTATTTTCTGGGTGGAAAAAAGGCAGGACCTTGACTGTGGTAATGAAAACTCTTTTGTTGGCTATCATGACAGTAGATTAGGTTAGACGTCTTATTTTTGGAGTGTAGGAATTGAGTTTAAGGTAGCTTTTAGATGTAAGTTGGCCCCCAAGAATCTTTCAAATCTAGCTAGAACCCTTCGACTCCACCAGTCTCCAACCTTACCCATGCCCCTTTTTTTTCCCACCTAACCTATCTCTTCCATCCTGACCCAAACCCCTCTTGAAAATCCTGAGGAAACAACCCCCAAGCTATGTCCTCAAACAATAAAAAAAAAAAAATAAGGTACCAGCAGTCCCTTTTATAGTGACCCCCGGCCGTTTGGTTTTTTCTTGTAGCCGTTTCGCCGAGTGACCTTCTCGGTGGTGAGCCAGCCCCAGGACCCTCACCAGCAGGGATCGCTGCAGAGCTGCTACGACAGCGGCCTGGACGAGTCGGAGACGCCCAGCAGCAAGAGTTCATCAGGGCCCCGCCTGGGCGCCCTTCCCCTGCCGGAGGACAGCTACGAGAGGACAACGCCGGATGGCAGTGTCGGTGAGGCAGAGCACATGGAAAATGGTAGGGGCAAACACTGAAAGGAGATTTAGAAGTCGTTAAGATGTAGGAAAAAACACACACTCACATAACGCCTAGAGCAAATCAAGTAACCATCCAAGTATAGAGAGTCTTACAAACAAACCAAAACAATGAGGCTCAAGACCTAATTACTATACTTGCAATCACAATTTCCTTTTAGTGTTTTTGTTCGGAGATTTCTGGCAGTAGTTTGTATGTTCTGAGTTGTGTTAGGTGTGATGTGGTGTAGTAGCTGTTGCAACTTTTATCAGAGGTAAGGGCCCCTCCACATGTGAGCATCACGTGAAGACAAGGTCTGGGATTTACTATGAGTCCTGGGGTTCTGCTTCAGAAACCACAGGAGCTATTTGATCAAAGGGACTACACCAGGGAGCTAACGAAACAGATATATTCTTTAAGATCAACACCTTTCAGACTTGTCTTTTTCCTTTGGGTGTGCAGCTCTTTACTTTACGATTCTCATTAAATTCCATTATGTCGACTAGGCTTCAACCAGGATAGATATCTACACCCTGGCAAGTACTGTATCTCTAAAGACAAAGCAATGATGGAGGAGCAATGGGGGGTTAATACCCCGGTTGAGTTGTTTAGAACCTGAACAGATACCTGTTGTAGCGCTTTGCAGCTCTTGTTTGGCTTGAGGCCCTTTACGGAGGAGTTCATTTTTCCCACAACCAGGGAGATGGAAGTGATGTTCTGTAGGTTGTAATGTGAAAAGACTGCAGTCTAGAGAGAGTGAGTGGGCGCAATGGAAAGCAATGGAGCCTGTTGTAAAGGCAGTCCCTTAGGTACAGAACTGTATCTCTTCCCTTTCTAAACCTTCTCACAGCTAGCATTAGCTACTTCCCTACCAGGGCTAAAATATGTGTGAGTGTTGTGTGCGAGTGTGTGTGTGCATTTGGGTGTGCATTGAGAGATGGGGGTAATGGTCCCATTCATAGTCGAGGAGTCTGAGGCGACGCTTAACAAGGAGTAGCTGTCTTGAGAGTGCTAAGCCTAAGTGCAGAGGCTTCCCCGCTGCAGCTTAGGATAAGGATATTCAAATGGCTTAAAGATACACATCCTCTCTTTTTTTTTTTTTCTTCCATGGAAGTTGTTCTGTGGATGATGTCTTAACGTCTTTAAGAACAATGCTGTCAATATCCTGTCCAGTTGCATCCAGAAGCAGAAGATGAAGGCTTCACCTGGACGGGTTATAGGGAGAGTGTAATGTCTTTTTTTATTGGCTTCAAATGACCCGAGACAGGATATGGAACGTCAGGTGAACCCCAACAGATGTGCACATCAAACCAGCAGTTGAAAAAGGTGCCAATGCGTGCTTTTGAAGGGTGAGAATTGAAGGGATTTAAAACACTTCTAATGGGAGCGGTTTGGGTTACCTTGTAGATTTTTGAGATCTCTGATTACAGCTTTAGGCAACCATTTACTCGCTAAGGTAGATAACAAGGAGGCTCATTTGAATTTGGTGTGATTTTAGTGTAATACGACAGGGGTGGCCGATAGCAATCGAGTTCGATCAAAACACGGAGCAGCCTGTCAATCAAATCGAAATTGAGAATGAAAACAGCCTAAAATACCAACAGAAATAAATCCCAAAGATGGAATATTTAAAATCCCCCCCCCCCCCCCCAAAAGAAAAGGAGCACATTCACATCTGAAAAAGTGTCCAATTTAAATATTTTCAATCAGCTATCCGTCCCAATACACATAATCACACAATCTTCCGCCACTCTTCAGATCAGCTCAGTGCACACATGTTGTCAATTCTCCGTTTCCACGGTTTCAGAGGTTTTCTGTTGCAAAGTAAACTGGTGCTTTAGACGAGATTTGTTGGAGAAACAGAGTCAAGGTCAATTCATGAATCAGTCTCCATCCAAGAGAAACAACATGCTCCACTGCTGCGCCGCTATCTTTAGTGAGATCAGCTTGAACTGGCGTGTGTGTGTGTGTGTGTGTGTGTGTGTGTGTGTGTGTGTGTAGATGGAAGGGCAGCCTCACAAGTGAGATTGAAAGTAAGTGAGAGCATGTGAAGATTTGGCTGGTTGTTATTTTTTTCTTTTTTAGCCCAAGATTTTCTTTTGTAAATCTCTCTTGTACCTCTAAAATTCACATCATTTCAGCGTGTTTGTACAGTCTTAAAGGGGTTAACAGTTTGTACTGTGAGAATAAGAGGAGCTGTAGTTTAGATTTAAGCAGGCAGCAGGGTGGCCTTGTGGTCTGAGAGCCTGTAATTGGTGTAGGTGTTGTCTTGCAATCACATAAAAACAAAAAAAAAAAGACAGCACTAAGTTTCCTTTTAAAGTGCCCTTGAGGAAGACGCTGTGTCTTCCTGGTTTGCTCACTTATGCTAGGTCACTCTGGATAAGGCCATGAGTTAAATACCAGAGTGTAAAGCAAACGCAATCATCTAAGGTTAGGGCAAATATTGGCAAACTGCTTCAGCCTCTTGAGGGGATGCTAACTACTGTCATTAGCACTCCCCCTCCTGTTGTAGCATGAGCACACACAGACACCACCAGTGCTCTATAGGAAGCCCCTAGACCTTTAAGAAAATTAGGGACTTGTGAGCAAAAAGAGGGAGAACAAAGGTTTAACAGATGGATTGCGTTGGTGTTCAGCGCTGGAATGGGCATCATTAGCGACAGGTAATTGCAGCCCTGACTGTGATTTGTGGCGAGAGCGGCAGAAAGGGTTGGTTTGAGTTTAGATTCTAATTCATGTGGGCTACAGGCAAGAATAAATAACGGTTTGAGTTTATTTTTAGAATATGACAAATCTCGACCTTGGAGCTTAAAAAACAAACAAAAATTCCAGTTTGGAAACTTTGACTCATGGATTTGACTTTTTTTTCCCTTTCTTACTTCATCATGATCCATCAAGTTTTGATCGCTTGTGTTTTGTGTAATGTTTAAATGGCCACAAAGGCAAATGGTTCCATTCAGCTCCGACTCGCTTGTTGTCAATCGATGTTCGCACAATGTGCTTGAACAATCGCCCCGCACGGCAGCTGCTCCTCTGTCTCGCACGCATGGATGCACGCATGCAACTTCTACTCCCCAATACACACACACACACACACACACACACACACACACACACACACACACACACACAATCACCCAGGCATTGGTACTAACCAAAGCCAGACAAACACATGCGAATACAACAAACACACAGTCTGTTTTTTTTTTTTTTCACTCCAAAGTCTTCATCCTCTCTTTCCTTCCACCCTGCACAGCTGTGCCAAGGGACCCTGTTTACTTCTCCCCTCATCTCCTTCATCAAGGTCAGGCTTCCAACTTCATTATTTTCTATCCGTTGACTCCTTTCCATGGGGATTGTCAAAACAACAAAAAAAAAAAAAAGAAGGGAGACAGAAAAACTCTCAAGCCAAGGCAGTTTTCTTCCAGAAGTGAATGAAAACAGGGAGCGTTGAGGTCACCGCGGGCAAATGAACACATTCTTGACCCGCTCCATGCTGCACGAATGATCAGACAAGACTCCTCTGCAATTTCATCTTCATAGGCTTCTCTTTCAGACGGCCAAAAGCTCGCCATGTCAGGAACCTTACGAGTTCTGAAGCGGCTCTGAATTTCTTCAGTTGGACGTAAAAAACTCGATTGTTAGTCTCCTTTTTCAGGCCAAGAGCTTACATACATTCTTCAGTAATTCTTGGACAGCCTGATAGTGCTTTATAGTTCTCAGCAAAAGGCACTTGGCACATCCCATGAAGTCTTGATGTTTTTGATGCACAGCTGGGCCTCTCACTTATTCATAAGCTTACCCGGGTGCTCATCAGATATTCATACACTCTGAGTGTTTGGAGTCAAACACCCGATTAGGCTATAACGGATGTCAAAGAGCCCTTCCAGATAGAAATGCGCTGGGTTTTTTTTTCTTCCGGTGGGTCAGAGACTTTTTTACTCTAATATTGATCTCCACAATGCCAGAGGGAGGGCGGCGAATGTTTCAATTCTTAGCCGTGTTAGTTCAAGTGCACCTCAAAAAATAACACGCTTCCACATCGCCCCTTTGATCGTGTGAGGTGTCTGAGCTGTGCAAAGGGTTTTCATGTGAAACCTCCATGCGATTGTCGAACAGCTCGCGGCGCTGAAGATGTAATATCATTGTTGACAACGTCAGTGTGGATAAGTTGAGCTTGTTGCCACGGGTCACGCTGCCAATGATGTATCCTATTTGATCCATGGCGTGAATCATTATTACATAGGGGCGTTTTTTTTTAGAGAAGAAAATGCTAATGTGTAGCTTTAACCTCCTTGTACACGTCTGAGTTGATACAATGGTATGTTGCTGTGCAGCCGGGGGCTGCTGCTGCTGTACACAGGTAAACAAAGATAATATATTCTTTGTGGACATAAGTGTGTCAAGTAAAATGAATTGTGTTCGACTGGAAAACAATAGGAAGTGGAGGAGCCAGAAGAATCTGCACATTATGATCCCAGTTAAAGGAGCAATTTGTCCATTTTGGAAAAAACAAAGATACTTTTTAAGGCTGTGGACAGTCTTAATTTCTTCTGAACTAATTCCTACCACAGAAATAGTCCTTATAAATGTTTACTATGTGGCTTATCTGGGGCTCCTGCAGGGGTTACAAGATCATTCTCAAGGTTTGCACGGTCATTTAAAGGGTAAAAAAGCAGGAACAAATCTTCACCTTCTGTAAACAATGTGAATTTCTTATCATTTTTTCCTCTAAATTCTCTTGATACGTGCAGATAATATCTGACAATGTCAATCGGACAACAATTTTAAACAAGTTTTAAAGGGGACTTGCTTGGAAAGGGACTATTTTGCTTACAAGTGCCTTGTACAATTAGTTTACCCAACTTTTTTATCTACCACTACATCCCTGAGTGCCTCTCACCGAGGCTGACGTCTGATTTCCATCGGTGCCAGATTGCCAAGACGGATGAATAGTGCAAATTTATTGTTGCCTCTGAGAGAGTAATAGCACGTCCTAC